AGGTGTTTGTGGAGTTCAAACAACGTCCTGCATGGCAGCACATCACAGATCATTTTGAGGTAACCATGGCAACAGGACAGTAATTAATAGAAGACACTCAATGCCATGGAAACAAAACTGCAACAAACAAAGCACGCTAGAAGGTGAGCTGGATGGCTCAGGGGATCTGAAAGGGCCCTGTAGCCTTAGGTTACCAGTTCAAATCTAGCCCAGGTGCGTAGCTCCTGGGTTTTAGCATCTGCTGGCTGCTTGGTGGCCTATGTGACATTGGGGAAGGCGGAACTGACCTCAGTTTGGTTCTTCGCAGAGACACGTTAGCAGGTGGCACTGACTGGTAGTCTTAGCTGAAGCCAAAGATTGAATGAGCCATGCAGAGGCGGGTCCCTCGCTCCAGGTCAGTCTGACTCAGTAGCATCTTACACTCGATTTGCACCAGTGTAAATGACTACACAAGGTGCGGGGTAGTGGAGAATCGGGCTCTAGCTTTGTGTGACATCCTGTATGCACCATTCAGAGAGATTTCTTCTGTTTCTCCCCTAAGCCTTGTTTTCTCATTGACATAATGGCTGAGAGCTTTCAGCTGGATCATTTCCCAGTACTTAGGAGCTTCCAGGCTAGTGCATTAATGGCCTGCAATGCAAAGAAAATGAATGTCTTCAGCATCACAGCCACAGTAGCTTCAATTCATAAATCCCAATGATTTGGGGAGGGACAGAAGAACTCAGTGAAGGCCAAACAGGTGTCCTTTGCCCCCCACATGCCAACCCCCAGGGCTGGGCATCTGGGGCCTGGAAAATGACACTTTTCACCCCAAGTGCAACAGGCTGTTTTCTTCTAATGTTTGCCAGGGAGTGGAGCACTGATGAAAGGTGCTATGCTGAGCCCGGGTGACTGATGTGCCGTCCTCTAATCATCTGGGGTGAAATTCACCGCTGTGCACCACTGCAGCCCTATTTGGGGGAGGGGAGGGGAGAGGAAACATACTTCTTGGGCTGGACCCTCTGCAGAGGGGTGGATTTCTCCCCAGCACAGCAGGTGCAGCCTAGGCCGTGAAAGCTCATGCTTCCCCCACATCTCTCCCCTGACCAAGCCTCTCAGCCTTGATGGACCTGTAGGGCTAAAAGGGAAGTTCAGACTCCATGGCAACCCTGGAAACTGAATGGCTCCCTCTCTGTAGCCACAGGCTTTGAATCTCAGCCCTTACATAGCAATGAAGTGAACTGAAATCAATGGCTTCACTGCAGAACAGACTGGGCCTGCAGGGGCTCTCTCTTGGGTAGGTCAGGGGCTAGGGCTCATTCCACGCTTGGCCTCGCTGCTGAGACTGTCCATAAGGATTACTGCCAATTAGAGCCAACTGGGATGGAGGGTTTTGTGATGTGGCCAGCTCCCGGGAAGGAGTTAGACCAGTGGTGTTAGCCAAAACGTCTCAGCCCACTTGCAATTCAGTTCATTACAATTAACCTCCATAAATCCCCCTGCGGTTTCAATCTCATACGGGATTCCTCTCCACTTCCTCTCCACTTTTTGAGCAACGTTGCTGTGCACTCCGAGGACATGATCCGAAGCCTGTTGAAGGCAGTGGAAGCCTTTCAATTGACATCAGTAGGCTTCAGATCATGTCCTTAAAACGGCTGCTGCACTCCACCTCAGAGGTGGCTGCATTTCAGGAGTGGGAGAGGCAGAGTGGAAAGGGCATTGCTCTCAGGCTTAGAAAACCCAGGTTTTCACAGACTCCCTGTGTGACCTAGGGCAAGTCTCTTAATCTACTCTGTGCCTCAGTTCCCATCTGTACAATGGGGATAATCACACTGCCTTACCTCACAGGGGTGTGGGCTCTGATACTAAGATGATAGGCAGATCTCCATATATATGTACAGCGTCTGTTTTCAGTCTGAGCTTGTAAAGTGCTTTAGGAAGTTGGGTTTGGTGAGAGGTGAAATTAATATAACTACTGTATTCTGTAGTGTATCTTTCTTGCAAACAGTAACCCCAAAGCACTTCACAAAGTTATATGTACAAGACAGCAGGCAGTAAATGGTGTCTCTTTTTTAATGAATAACCCAGTGGTTTAAAGACATTTGATGGTGACATTTTCACATGAGCAGGGAGTTCAAACACAAGTTTAATGCTGATGATACTCTATTTAACATAAAAGATGCTTTAGATATTTCTCCCAGGCTACCTTCAGCTTCCCCAGGGAGTCTGTGGATTCTGCACAACTGTGGGCCTCCGAGTGAGCGTCAGGCAGAGCCCACTTCCAGAATTAATCAGGAGAAATAGAGATGAAAGCCTGTGTATCCCACTGGCGTAGGGAGCAGAGTGGAGAAGGGACTCACATACTACAGACCTCCAGGCTCACTTCTATTGCTATCTGGCTTAGCAGTAATCAGGAAAAACTTATCCCCAGGGTCTCAGCTGTCAGAGTTCAGGCATCTGGCCTTCTTTGGAATCCAAGCTCATCTCTTTCATTATAGAGGGAAACTCTCCAAGAAAAGAGAACTGTATTTTATGAAGTGGATACAATTTAGCCTGAGTGTGCGTAGTGTCGGGCTTCCATGGGAATGTCCGCTCAGATCTCAGTTGGGGAAGGGAGCTGCAGTGGGTCAGAGAGTCTGTCCCCTCGCATCAGGGAGAGATAACTATGAGAGTGATCAGTGTGACAGAATGGCGATTTCCTGTAATGCCCTGGACAAACCTTATTGAATCCAGTTAAACCCGACTGAATTAAGTGTAACTATCTTAGGAGATCATTGCATTAAAATGCAAATGTTTATGTGTTGTTGTGGGATTGTCCGTAACTTATCTACGAGACATGACGAATGTAAACCTTGGGAAGTGTTAGGAGCTTCAAAGGACTCTTTTGAACAATGGGCCAAGACAAGAATGATCTGTTAGTTGAGTAGGTTTCCTAGGAAATACTTGGGAGGAGGGGAATGCAAATGCCTGTCTCTAAACCTGATCTTTGGAAGCTTGTCCTGGGCAGGGGACTTTTGCCTACAACTTACCGATTTCCAGGATCAAAAGGCCCAAATGGCATAAAAAAGTAACTCTCAGATTCATGGGGTGCTTGTTCTGAACGTGTGACCACAGACAAAACCCATGGTGGGATTTGAAGGACTGTTCACCAGCCAGAACCCTTGTTGGAGTTGGGGTGGTGTCAAGTATTAGCATGGGTGTAGCTTCTTTTATTGCTTGAATATATTTTCTCTGAACTGCTTTTCCCTTGAAAATAAATTTGCTTGCTTAGAAAGAGCTGTGTGGTAACTCTACTTTGGCAATTACACTGTTTTCGCCTCAAGGACAGTGAAGTAAAGCAGGCCAGTCTGATTTTGCTGGGAAATTCACAGTGCAGGCAGGGAACTGTGCAGCCTGGAAATACCCTGGTCAGAAGAGGGATGCATGTCTCCGCCCAAGAGAGGAGATGGCTGGGGAGCTGGAAGCCTGGGGGTGGAGGAGGAATACAGATGTAGGTGCCCAGAATTGTGACCATCAAATCCTCCAATTAATACCTGCCTAAAGCAATCAAAACAGATCACAATAAAGGACAGATGCTGTGTTCTTTTCTAAATACAAGTGGCTCATTACTGAGGTTTACATCAAATTACATGATGGCTCAGATGAACTGGGAATAAATTTAGTAGAAGATTCTATAGTCTCTTTGGTGTCGTTGATCAGGAATTCAAACAGTTGTTAATGAATACCCCCTGAATTAAACGAGCGATGGAAAGGAGATGCATTGTAAGAAAATAGTTATTATAAAGGGGCAGAGGCCCTCACAGAGGCCAACCTCTTCAGTGTTGAGGCCCTGATTATCCAGCAGCAGCTGAGGTGGAGCGGGCACTGTGTACGCATGCCTGATGTACGCCCAACTCACCAAGAAGAAAGGAAACAGGGAGGCCAAAAGAAACGCTTTAAAGACACCCTCAAGATCAACATCAAGAGATGTGGCATCGACACCACGCACTGGGAGACAGCAGCCCAGGATAGGGATAACTGGTGAAGACTTGTCAGAGAGGGAACGTCCACTTCTGAGGAAAATCGCCTTGCCTTGGTCGCAGAAAAATGCCAGAAAAGAAAGGAAAGACAATGGTCAAGCAGCAATCTTGGCCCTGCCCTGTCTTCCAGCACAACCTGCAACGTCTGCCAACAAGCCTGTGGCTCAAGGATCAGACTCCTCAGTCACCAAAGGACCCATGAAAAATAAAACCTGTGAAAGAGATCATTCTCAACCTCGAGGGATCACTGACAATGACACTGGATAACACCCATCCTCCCAAAGAATCGTCGTACACAGGGATCCTTTCACCCACCGCTGAAATGTGGCCACCTCTTGGGTGGAACATGATAGCTGAATTGAACACTCTGACTCTTGCAAAAAGCGCTTGCGAATGAGATTAAACATCAATTGTACTTATTTTATCAGCTGGTATTGGACTGATGAGGGCTTTGAACAATGCCACCAAAGGTTACGATACTGTCTAGAAACAGGGGTTGTCTCTTAGCTGCACCTTCAACCTTTGACTTTCTACCTGGAGCTTGTTCAGCACTTCACTGTTTTTTCATAGACATCATAGAGAAGAAGTGCTTAATTTAGAATGACAGAGGTCTAGGGCTCAAGCAATCAGGTGCTGGGGCTCAAGCAATTTTTGCACTTTCAAAACTGACATGGCAAGCCCAGAGATGCTGGGGCTTTGAACTGCCAAGCCCAAAGGTTCCAGGGCTACGAACTGCCAAGTCCAGAGATGCTGGGGCTCTGTCCTGGTGAGCCCTGGCACAAATTGAGCCCTGCAGAGAAGGGCCATTGAGATGTAAGCAAAAAGGGCCTTTGACATCTCTGGGCTGAGGGCTCCAGCCTGGAATTTTCTCCTCCTCCAGCTTCAAAGAAGTTACTGCTAATTGACAGTTGTGGCAGAAGAGAATCAAGCTCCATATCCTCATTGCGGTTACAGGAAGGAGCGGAGAGAGGCAGCAGCCAGTGGGGGGAGTGAGAGGGTTGGAAGCATGGATCTCCGTAAGTTCAGCACACAGATATGAGCATAGTTGGAATACAGAGCCCCAAAGGATCAGAGAGCAGTCTGAATTCTCTTCCTCTCTCTGACACACAAACCCCTCCTGGAATTAACACAGCTCCTGAGTGCCCTTCCGCCCTGACTTTCCTCTGCACCAGGTCAGTAGAGAATGCAATGGTTTTCTTTTATCTGCATTTACAGAGGGAATATTCAGCCCAAATGGAGAAGCAGATTTTTCTTTTTCTTTTAAATGTACTGTATGCATAACCCAACTAGTGAGCAAGAAATGTGCCTAACTGGTTGGAACGGTTCTGTAGTTAGATGCTACTGCATTGTAGAAGTTACTTATTTCCTGAAAACTGGTGTCTCATTGTAAACATGCCCTTAGCGTGGACAGCTGAGATGGTATTATTTTGCTGTTTAGTATCATCTCAGAAGAAGCAAGGACTCCTATACAAAATAATGTAAAGGAGGATTTTACATTCATTGTGTTGCTGAGACAGCTAGTTTCTTTCTACAATTCACATTTGGAAGCTCATTTGGGAGCAGAATGGAAAGGTTTGAGGATATGGCTGTGATGTAAAATGCATTACTTTGCTAGGGTTTCACAGAAATAATACTTTGAAATTGCCTTTCATAATATTTTGTTTATTTTGAAAGCATCTTCCATATGAACAGTGTCTCAAAATGCTCCCTGTATGGAAAAGTTCCATACAGTTGAATAAGGATAAAACCAACGGGGCTCAATAGAAATTAATCTAAAAATCTAGATTTAACAGAGTCTGCTAAGCTTTCTATAGGTTTTTGGAGCCATCCTATAGAATTCTATGGCAGGGATAGAATTCTTTATTCAGTTCTGTAAGATGTTTCCTAAAGTCTATAGAAAGTGTTTGATTTTTGTTCTATTAAATTAGATAAGACTTCACCATAGGAGTTTACAGAGTGAAATAATAGCTGACAAAGATGGAAATGAAGGGGTTCAGGAAAGGAGAAATGGGCTACTTTACTAAAAAGCTCACTAACCCTCTTCCATAGAAAAATGGGAGATTAGGTGCTAGAATAGTGTTTTTCAGGTCAGACTGAAAAATAATTTGAGCTGCAACTCCCAATGCTTTGTGGGAAAGCATATATTTTAAGAACATAATAAAACCCGCTGGCTGTGGAATGCACTTGTGTGTACTCATTGTGAATAACAGCAGGAATCCATTCATTATCTCATACTTATGGAGAATTGAAGGGTCTCTGGAAATGAGTTGTATACACTCCTGAGTGATGTACAGCAGAAGTTCTCATGGTATCAGCTTCGCGGGCATGAGTACTGTGTCCTTGTGGCTCTGCACTGGCCAACCAAAACCCCCTGACAGACAAGGATAAGAAGGGACATGAATGGTGGGGGTGACTTGGAGGGATTTGTATTCCAAGACTGAATCTATTCTGTGTCCACCGATTTCTGTCTTCCTTTCAAATCCTAAATTTGGGGCCTGGCCCTCTCTTCTTAGAATTGTCCCCTTTATCAGGGGAGGGCTATTTATCTGAATCCCTCCTCTTCTAAACCTCAGTTTTTCCATCTTCTTTCCCAGGAATCTGTAGAACAAACCACTTCCCAGACCTTCCAGACAAGCCAGGAAAATTAAACGGGGAAAAATATTCTGAGGAAGTTTGAGACAAAGAAATCAGATTATAAGGAGGCTAAAGGGACAGGACTTGAGGGGAACCAAATTGGCCTCAGTATGAAGGCTAGATGCAGCTGGAGCACAAACATGAAGTAAAATTTGATGTACCACAAGGACATTTCAATTCAACTCTCAAGGTGTGACCCGTGAATTACAGAACAGAGAGGAGAATCAGTGGGTAGCACCTGAATAACTGTTCACACAGGTATACTCAAACATAGATGGAAACTCTCTGCAAAGCTGAGAGACTGAATCAGGTTAACAGGTCACATTTGACCTCTCATGGATTGTTTGCTGCTCCAACCAAAAGAGATGCCCACAGAAGGACTCAATCATAAATGGCACATACACGGGTTGCTAACTATATCCATGAACTGAAAATGAATGGAATCATGGTTATGACCCTGTAATTAACGTCACTAATGCTGACCCCCTTCTGCTCTTGTCTAAGCTTGCTTCTCAGTTGACTTTGACTCATGGAACCAATTGGGAATTGGGACAAGCTCCCAACCAATGACAGCATCAATGAGATCGTCCTCAAGAACAGCTCCAATTCCAGCTCTCAGTTTACGGGAGTCCAGTTGATCCAGTCCTTCAAGCCCCTCATCATCCCCTGCTACGCCCTGGTGGTGCTGATCGGCATCTTCGGCAACTACCTTCTCCTCTACGTCATCTGTAGGACCAAGAAGATGCACAATGTCACCAACTTCTTCATCGGGAACTTGGCTTTCTCAGACATGCTGATGTGTGCGACATGTGTTCCTTTTACCCTGGCCTACGCCTTCAACCCACAGGGCTGGATCTTCGGGAAGTTCTTGTGTTATTTCGTGTTCCTGATGCAGCCAATGACAGTCTATGTGTCTGTCTTCACCCTCACAGCGATTGCTGTAGACAGGTAACTAGTTTCTAGCCAGCCCTTTGGAAATGATGATTTTCCTTTTTTAAAAAATTTGGGTGAGGGAATTATTTAGTAATTTTTTGGCCTCAAAAGAGCAAAATCTTTTCAATATCACTAAGAAATCTTTCAGAGTAGCAGCAATGTTAGTCTGTATCTGCAAAAAGAAAAGGAGTACTTGTGGCACCTTAGAGACTAACAAATTTATTTGAGCATAAGCTTTCGTGAGCTACAGCTCACTTCATTGGATGCATGCAGTTGAAAATACAGTGGAGAGATTTATATACACAGAGAACATGAAACAATGGGTGTTACCATACGCACTGTAACAAGAGTGATCAGGTAAGGTGAGCTATTACCAGCAGGAGAGTGGGGGTGGTGGTGGGGAACCTTTTGTAGTGATAATCAAGGTGGACCCTTTCCAGCAGTTGACAAGAACCTCCGAGGAACAATTGGGGAGGGGGGGGGGAAATAAACATGGGGAAATAGTTTTACTTTGGTGTAATGACACATCCACTCCCAGTCTCTATTCAAGCCTAAGTTAATTGTATCCAGTTTGCAAATTAATTCCAATTCAGCAGTCTCTCATTGGAGTCTGTTTTTGAAGTTTTTTTGTTGAAGAATTGCCACTTTTAGGTCTGTAATTGAGTGACCAAAGAGATTGAAGTGTTCTCCGACTAGTTTTTGAATGTTATAATTCTTGATGTCTGATTTGTGTCCATTTATTCTTTTACATAGAGACTGTCCAGTTTGGCCAATGTACATGGCAGAGGGGCATTGCTGGCACATGATGGTAGATGTGCAGGTAAACGAGCCTCTGATAGTGTGGCTGATGTGATTAGGCCGTATGATGGTGTCCCCTGAATAGATATGTGGATACAGTTGGTAACAGGCTTTGTTGCAAGGATAGGTTCCTGGGTTAGTGTTTTTGTTGTGTGGTTGCTGGTGAGTATTTGCTTCAGGTTGGGGGGCTGTCTGTAAGCAAGGACTGGCCTGTCTTCCAAGATCTATGAGATTGATGGGTTGTCCTTCAGGTATTTGGCTTTTTATTGTACTGGGGCATGTGACACTTTGCAGTTTTGTGTGATTCACTGTGAAAAAGGATTTTCAGCAAAATGAAATTCCAAGTGTAAAAAATGTCTAGGTTTTTGCATAGAAAAAGGATCACTTTGGAGATGAGGGGGAACTGAAATTTTAATAATTTCAGTAATTAATTATAAATCTTATTACTTTCCCTTACATCACATTTTGCCTCTTCAAATGTACAAATATTAATGTGATAACCCTCACAGCACCCTAATGAGGATAGGCATGATTTATTATCCCCATCTTACAGATCAGGGAAACTGAGGCACAGGGTGGTGAAGGGACTGATTGATTTTGTTTTATTAATGTATCTGAATGGTGTTTATCAAATGCGCCTATTGACACCTCTAGGATCTGTCACTGACTTGTCTCTAAAGTGCCACAAGTACTCCTTTTCTTTTTGCGAATACAGACTAACACGGCTGTTACTCTGAAACGTGACTTGTGAGAGACTGTGGGCAAATCAGAGGATCAGACTTTCAGCAGAGCTCAGGAACAGATTTGCAAGCACTTAGCACCCACAGCTGGAGACAGATTTTTAAAAGAACCCTCAGCTCCCACTGCAACACTTAAGTCCAGGTACTAAGAGACATCAGCACTGGCATGTTGAGTAGAGCTGTTCCAGGACAGGAATTCTGCTTCAAGAAGGATTTTGAGATGTCTAAATCTTGGCTCTGTTTCAAATTGGAAGAAAACCTGCAAATTTCAGAATGCTCTAGGAAGGAAAATTCCAGGAAAAAAAAGTTTCAGAGCAATCAAAATGTTTGGTGCCAATTTTTACTTTATTATTTTGTGTTACAATATACAATATAATACAAATAAAAAGATATTCAAAGCAAAAAGTTGTTTCAAAAATGAAAAATCAAAATGGTTGTTTTTCATTGCTGGGATTCATTCCCCCTCCCCCCCAAACCAAATTTTGGTGCATACAACATGGTTTTGAGTTTGAGACAACTGCATTTTGCAAGGCAGTTCCACTGAAGTTCTTCCAACCAGCAGTAGTTCTCAGATCTTTTGTAAGCCTGGCCACTTGCAGGTTGTCTAAGTTGGAGCTGGGCTCTTCTAGAATCTGATTCTAAATTGTTTTGTATAATGGGAATAACTATCCAGGGTGAAAAGAAAAGGAGTACTTGTGGCACCTTAGAGACTAACCAATTTATTTGAGCATGAGCTTTCGTGAGCTACAGCTCACTTCATCAGATGCATACCGTGGAAACTGCAGCAGACTTTATATATACACAGAGAATATGAAACAATACCTCCTCCCACCCCACTGTCCTGCTGGTAATAGCTTATCTAAAGTGATCAACAGGTGGGCCATTTCCAGCACAAATCCAGGTTTTCTCACCCTCCACCCCCCCACTCCAGGGTGAGAGGCTTAGTGTTTGCAAAGCATCTGGGCACCTGTGAATGAGAGGTGCTAGAGAAATTATTACAGACACAGCCGGGAGTTCCTGTGTCTCAGTCAGAATTAATATTAATTTCCCTCCCTCTTATTATTTCCCTCCATTTCCTTTGCAGCAGCTGTTTCCTACAGTTCTCGTGGTCAATTCTGCTCACTCACTGTTAACTTTCAGCCCCATCGGCTCAGCTTACCCCGCTGAGACCATTTAAAGGATCAATATATTCCTGTAGGCCCCCTCCTTGGCCTGACTCCAGGCTCTGGGGATCTAGGCTGGGAAGGGGGATTGATAGTTGTGTAACACCCGGGTAACCAATGGGGAGCAACTCCGTAGTAGCCCCTGAATTCTCCTGTGTTCCGGGGCTGTGTTCTCCCTGAGAGGGCTGCAAAAAGGAGCAGGATCCTTATGTTCTCCCTTCTGCCACACAGGTGTGGAAATGAGGGACACACTCTTGCCCACAGGGATCTGGACCCGCACTGCGGCTTTCTTCACCCACAAAATGGGATTAAAGGGTGCTCAGCACTGTGTAAAATCAAGCCCTTAGGGCCAGATTTTCAGCAGAGATCACCGCCTGTTCAGGCACCTAACGGAAGTGGATAGGTTTGCCATTGAAAGCTATGGGAGCTGCTGGGGGTGGAGCACTTTTGATAATCTGGCCCTTAATGTGTATAGGCCAAATTCACAGTCCCTTCTGCAGTTTTTACTCCAACAGAAGTTAATTGGAGGCCTATCTGAATAAGGACTGAGTAAGAACCTCAGGCTTCGGCCCTAGGTTGGGTCAGGTATTTTTTTGCTCTCTAATTGCTTGATCTTGAGAGGCATTCAGTAGCACAATTGAGCCCAGATGAGGCAAGCACCTGGAATTAGATTCCCATTGATCACTTTCTTCTAACCCAGCTCAATTTCTTGAGGCTTCTCTTCATTTTCAAGTGCTTTTCTTTTGGTGCCTGTCAATTACCTCACTTACAATCCATGCTGTCTGGAGTCCCCTTCAGGGCAAGATTAATAAACGTCAGCCATCCAGCTCTTCAGATGTTTTCTGCTCACCAAAGCAAATCAGCTCTCACTCCTGACAGTTCCCAGGCAGCCTTCCCAGCCTGCAGGCTGGAGACCATACTCAGATTCATGAGAATCTGCCACACCAAACACAGTGCTAGCAGTCATTCAGCATCAAATCTAGCACGAATGCACATCCATGCCACAAAAGACTGAACATTTTAACAACTCAGAGCATCATCTCCTGCAGATGACAGCTTCTCTTGCTCTGAATTCTAGCACAGAACCCTAGAAACTAGAGTTGCCAATAGCCTAGTCGGTCCAGCTTCCGCTGCACAGTGCAGAATTGCTCCTTTTAGTAGTTAACTGTAGTAGGAGGGGCTTGGATTCAAGCCATAGGACTAAGACTTTAGAGATCTGGCTGCAGTTCTGGCTCTGCTGCAATTCTGTGTGTCACCTGAGTCAAGTCACTTTCTCTGCCTGTGCCTCAGTTTCCCCTCTGTAAAAGGAAGTACCAACACTTTGCTCCCCCAAAGGGGTGCCGTAAGACTCTGTTCATTAAGGTATGTGAGGTGCTCAGATTCTGTGGTGACGGGTGTCACAGGAAAACCAATCAATATTTATACCACTGTAGATCTTGAGTAACTTCGCTGCCGTCAGGGGAGTGAGACTAGTGTAAGTGAAAGGGCCACCAGGCTTGGAGTGACAGACAGACTGACAGTGGAGTAGTGCCTGATGCCCGCACTGGAAAAGAACAGGTCGGTGCTGCTGCAGTGAAAAGACCAACTGGAGAGGGTATCGTAGGGTATGTCTACACTGCAAATAAAGGGCATGTTCTTAACTTGGCTTAGCTAACTCAGGGTAAAATAGTAGTGAAGACACTGCAACTCGAGTTAGCAGCACAGGTTCAACCCTGCAGGCTTTCACTCGAGCTGCTAACCTAAGGTAAAAGCCGAGCTGCCATGTCTTTACTGCTACTTCAGCTCAAATGAGCTAACCCAAGGTAAGAACACACCTTTTCTGCCATGTAGATCTACTCTTAAAGTGCGACTGTTAGGGCCAGAGCCTCAGCTGGTGTAATCCATGTCGCTCCAGTGAAATCAGTGGAGTTAGGTTGATTTGAAGATCTGGCCTGAGATTTTTACATTCATTGAATAATCTCCTGCATGTCTATTCAACTGTGTATACGCGCAGGAGGAGATGATACATATGTCCTCCACTTTGTGTCTTGGGCGGCGCTGACATTGTCTGCACCATGCAAACAGCAGTAATAACTGATCATACCAACAAGGAGATTAGAAAGCGGGCAGCAGGGCACATGGAAATTAATCCTCCTTAGAGGGATGCAACAAGACTAGTCTCAGGAGCAAGAAAGGCAGTATCTCCATGCTTCCCAGCGATATGTTCATTCGCTGTTTGCTAAGCAGCTCTTTGCAGAGAGGTCCAGTCCACCACCTGGCAAATATAGCCTCATTCAGGAGAGAGGCTCAGTCCTGACCCACTCCCCACACACCC